GTGAGAGGACGAAAGCCCGAAACACTCCCGGAGCTTCTGAAAAATGCCTAGAGAAGCCTGGCAGGCACACAAAGCCATCACCTTTGCCCTGGAAGCCAAGCTGTGTCCTTGCCCAGGATGAGGTAAATGGTATCAGGGACACCATGAGCTCTTTGACTTTTTTTTTTTTAAGACAGATTTTTGCTTTTTCACCCAGGCTGGAGTGCATTAGTGTGATGAAGGCTCACTGCAGCCTCAACCTCCCCTGCTAAAGTGATCCTCCCACCTCAGCCTCCCAAGTAGCTGGGACTACAGGTCACAGGCCACCACAGCCCACTAATTTCTTTAAATATTTTGTACACACCGAATCTCACTATATTGCCCAGGATGGCCTCCAACTCCTGGGCTCAGACGATTCTCCCCCTCGGCCTTCCAAAGTGCTGGGATTGCAAGTGTGAGCCAATCACTCCCAGCCACTGCAGCCTTTTGGATCCCCTTTAGGATTTGGCCCCTGGGGGCTTCTGTTCCCCAAGGACCACTAATCTTGTCTGAGGCCCCTTTGCAGGGGTCAGGGCGCCCCCCTGGCCAAGGACGCCACACACTCAGAGCCAGATGCTGCGAGAAACTGTTATTGTTATTATCGGCCGGCAGCACTGGCTACGGCCACAATCCTAAGAGGGAAATGGACTGAATCCCCGCACCCCCAATCCCTCACCCACTCAGACCCAGAGCTGCCGACCTGGCCTGACAAGTCCCGGCACTCCTGGGTCCCCTGTACTGTGCTGGTTCCTCGCTGTGGTGTCCCGCAGCCAGACCCTTTCTGCGCTTCTAGAAGCCCACCTCGGGCGGCTGGGAGGCATCGCGTGGGGCTCACAAGTTCCACGCTGTCATCTACACCAGCTCCCACCTCCCAGCACCTTCCCTCCCGCACTGTCAGGTTCTGCCTCCGCAGCATTTGGCAGATCTGAGCCCGGTCCCTGTCGCCCCTCCGCGGGAGCCTCACCCTGGCCGCGGACTAGAAGCAGCAGGAGCCCACAGGCCACCGCATTCAGCCGCGCCCGAAGTCGGTGCAGCCGCATGGTCGGCTCGCTGGTCTCGGTTCGCTGCCGATGTACACGCTGCTGTTCACCCAGAGGCTGCCCCGAGTCGTTCCAGCCGTGGATCAGTGCCTCGCTCAGCCTTGGAGTTTGGACTAGGCAGAGAGTGGGTGGGGTGCGCTGGCTTTGCGGGGAAAGGTGGGTCTGGTAGGAGAGCAGGACTGAGCAGTCATAGATGGGTGAGCATCTAGTGGCAGGCAGGGCCGGGCACGGCCACTTGCCTTCTGCCGGGGCCCCTTTGGCATCCTGGGAACGGGCCGCGCTGCTTCTACAGCCCCTCCGCGATCCAGGGAATCCTCTCCTCAAACCAGTCCTTGTCCACAAGCCCGATGAGCGTGCAGGAGGATCGACAGGAGGGAGCAATAAACTAGAATTGGAGAACCCAGGAGGGCTTCTCTGAGGAGGTGCACGATCAGGATCCCCACAGATGGAGAAATGGGAAGGAACTTGATTGGGGTGAAGGAACCGCTTGAGCAAAGGCAGAGAGGCCTGACGGCGCCCTTCATTCTGGAAGCTCCTCCTTGCTTTCAGGACTCAGTTTCCTGGGTCCCCCTTCACAAACCCTCATCTTACAGTCTAGAGTCTGAAGGTCTCCGCGGTCCCCTCCCTACTCAGTCACGCCCTTCTTTTGAAACGTACATGTGTCTGAGGCACTTCTTAAGGAGCGCCCCCCTTTGCCTCGGTGGCTTTCAGTTTCCTCACCTCTGGCGGAGACCAGGGCCATGGTCATTTATCCAGTTGACAAACATTTCACAAGGGCCTGGACCTGTTGTCTGAGCGCTGGGAACCTGGCACTGCCGGGCCTATGTTGCAATAGGGGAGGCTCTAAAGTCACCTGGGGGTCCAGAGACACTGGGAGCCCTGACAGGCCAGAGGCAAGCAACCCACCTAGGCACAGGAGTGTGCCATGGCCCTGTAACTATAGGTTTTACAGTGTCTGAAGCCCGGAGGTGGAGGCTACAGTGATGTGTGATTGCGCCACCGCATTCTAGCCTGGGTGACAAAACAAGACCTTGTCTCAAAAAAAAAAAAAAAAAAAAAAAGGGGGGGGGAGGTAAATTCGAATATATTTCACCATAAAGCTGATTTAAAAAAAAAATTACCTATTAAGTCTAAACAGTAATCCTGGGAACCGATTTTGGGAAAGTATATTGTACATCTGCAGAACTGAAAAACATGCAGAGACATGCAGGCAGCTGGTGCTCAATAAACGCTTTCAGAATGTAGTGGGAACCAAACAGTGTTCATTGAAAGGAAAGTCTCCTCCCGCTCTCAAATTCAAGTCAGTCCAGGCTTAATATTATCTTTGTCTACCACCGGGTGGCCAAAATGGGCAATGTGGGTGTTCTGGTCTTTCACCCCAAACTTCGAAAGGCTCTGTAGTTGGGCTTAAAGGCCGTGGGTGGAAAGAAGGGAGACTTTCCCCCTGGAAAACCAGTGCCCTGAGAGGCAAGTTGGTCAGAGGTAGGGGCATAAGGGGGATTATTAGGGCCTATGGGACAGGCATACAGCCTCTTAATGACAGAGAGAATATACTTGGGTGAAACCAAGAGGCCAATTGAACATAATTGGCCACCTTGGCACACTGAGATAAAATATGAGGTTTTTGCAGAGCGGGGCAGGAGAAAAGTTTAGGGACAACAATGAGGTAAGTAGGAAAATAATCATGTGGACACACACGGTGAGTTCGGGGATGCTCAGGGGGTTGAAAGGTTGGCAGGGGAACTCTGAAAGGTGAGAGGACATCTCCCTGGATAGAGAGGCCCCTGGGAGCCAGGGGACAGGAATCTCTTGGCAAGTGTGCTAATATCCTGCGAGTATGGGCCTTACAGTGTCTGTAAACCACCGAGAAGAAGAGCAAACTTCAGGAGACGGGTCACTGAGGAAGCAGCTTGGCTTTCCTGGCCACTGTGCAGGCAGCCCAGGCTCAGGGGCCTATGGACAAGCCCAGTCTTGCTTCTTACAAAAGCGGGGTGAGTCACCTCTGCAGGACATCGATAGTTGGATGGGTGTCTTGCTTTTTTTTGTTTGGTTGGTTGGCTGGTTTTTTTGAGATGGTGTCGCACGTTGTTGCCCAGGCTGGAGTGCAGTGCTGTGATCTCGGCTCACTGCAACCTCCGCCACCCGGGATCAAAGGATTCTCCTGCCTCAGCCTCCTGAGTAGCTGTGATTACAGGAGCCTGCCACCATGCCTATCTAATTTTTGTATTTTTAGTAGAGATGGGGTTTCACCATATTGGCCAGGCTGGTCTTGAACTCCTGACCTCAGGTCATCCCCCAACCTTGGCCTCCCAAAAGTGCTGGGATTACTGGTGTGAGCCACTGCCCCCGGCAAAAGGTTGCCATCTGTTAACCAGAGAACAAGTCTTGCCAGACACCAAATCTGCTGGCACCTTGATCCTCGATGTCCAAACCTCCAGAATTATAAACAATATATTTCTGTCATTATAAGGCACCTAGTTTATAATATCAACCTGTAGTATTTTATTTAAGTTTTATATCAGTGGAGGAAACTATATTTTTTTGAGATAGGGTCTTGCCGTGCTGCCCAGGCTGCAGTGTAGTGGTACAATCACCACTCACTGCAGCCTTGACTGCCCAGACTCACTGATTTGCCGGCCTCAGCCTCCTGAGTAACTGAGACTACAGGTGTGTGCCACCACATCCAAATAATTTTTGTATTTGTTTGTAGAGATGGCATTTCTCCATGCTGCCTAGGTTGGTCTCGAACTCCTGGGCTCAAGCTCAGGAGGCCCACCTCAGCCTGCAAAAGTGCTGGGATTAAAGGCATGAGCCACCATTTCCGGACTAACTGGTAACTTTACTTATTTATTAATTTAATTTATTTATTTATGAGGCAGGGTCTCGCTCTGTGACCCAAACTGGAGTGCAGTGGTGCAATCTTGGCTCACTGCAACCTCTGCCTCCTGTGTTCATGTGATTGTCGTGTCTGACTCCCAAGTAGCTGACATTCTAGGTGTGCACCATAAAGCCTGGATAATTTTTGTATTTTTAGTAGAGACAGGGTTTCACCATGTTGGCCAGGCTGGTCTCAAACTCCTGGCCTCAAGTGATCCGCCCACCTTGGCCTCTCAAAGTGCTGGGATTATAGGTGTGGGCCATTGCACCTAGCCTAGCCAGTAGTATTTTTGCTATAGCAGCTGAATGGACTAAGACACTAAGATTCCAGTATCCAGGTTTTCTGTTGGACACTCACAGATATAAGAGCACCTGGGGCTTGTGGAGAGGCAGACAGAAGCTTTTTTAAGAATTTATTTTTACTTTTTTAAGACCTCTCAGGGATGAACGGACATAGGCTTCTCACACTCAGGTGTGGGCAACGTTCTTCAGACGACCTCCCTCAAAATGGGAAAGGCCTGGGGGCTCAGAGGAGAGAAGAGAGAAGGCAGGGAGAAGGTGGAGGTGAGGGACGACAGTGCCTAGGGCTCAGTGGGTTGTTGGTGAGGATGGGTTTCCACTGGGGGGATCTATCTAGTGTCTTATCAGAGCTCACTGTGGGGATCTATCTAGTGTGTCTAAAAAGAGAGGACCCGTGGCAGGTTTGGCAACTGACATCATGCAGTAGCTTCTTCTATTCTCTTTTTTTGAATGGAGTCTCGCTCTTGTTGCCCAGGGTGGAGTGCAGTGGCACAATCTTGGCCCACTGCAACCTCTGCCTCCTGGGTTCAAGGGATTCTCCTGCCTCAGCCTCCTGAGTAGCTGGGATTACAGGTGTGCACCACTGTGCCCGTCTAATTTTTGTATTTTTCAAAGAGAATGGGGTTTCACCATGTTGGCCAGGATCGTCTCTAACTCCTGTCTTCAGGTGATCTGCCCAACTTGACCTCCCAAAAGTGCTGGCATTACAGGCATGAGCCACAGGGACTGGCCTATTATTCTCTTTTTATTTTTAATTTTCTCATGTTCCTTTTCCTTATATTTTGTTTTCTTTGCTTTTTAAAAATCTTTTCTACTTGTCACTGACTTGAAACTCAAAACTTTCCTATTTAGTTTCTAATCACTCTCTCTTTCTTTTTTATTTTTTTTTGAGAAGGGGTCTCACTCTGTTGCCCTGACTGGTCTCTAACCTCTGGCCTCAAGCCATCCTTCCATCTCAGCCTCCCCAATAGCTGGGATTACATATATGAGCCCTCATGCCTGAGTAAGTTCTTAATAAATGCTTTCTGAATGGATGGACGGAAGAATGAATGAATGGCTACGTGAATGAAGGAATCAACTTCTTTCTCCTTAGTGGGTGTGTGTGGGCACAGCAGGCTGACGCTCGCCTGTAAGCGAGCCCAACCTCTCCTCCCTGGCACAGGGAGCTACAGCTCTGTGTGTTTCTCCTCAGGCTCCTTGAGCTCCTGCATCTTCTTCTGGGGCAGCGCCTTCTTCCAGAACTGGAACCTGTGGGCCTTCAGAGCCCGGCCCACTGCAGGCTGTAGGTTCAGCTGCAGGTATTGCTCCTCCTGGTGGAACAGCGGCCAGTGTGGCAGACCCTCGCCGTTGGGGTTCCTGTAGACATGCCGTCCCAGCAGGGCGATACGAAGGTCATTCTGAGCCCCTGGAGCCCAGACCTGAGCACCTGGAGTCTGGTCAGGCAAGGCAGCCAAGCAGGCCAGGTGGGCTTGGGGAGTGAGGGGGGCATCTTCCAGAAACAGGAAACAAATTCCCTCCAGCTAGTGTCAGCTCTAGTGGGGGCGGGGTGGCTGGCTCTGATGTGTCCCTCTCTCTGGGAGGGAGACCCTGACGGTGGCACAGCCCTGGTGCCCACCCTCCAAGTAGAGCGGGGAGATGGAGCGTGTCCACTGCCCCACGGCACCCCCACCCTGTCCAAGTGGGTCCCGCGGCTGGGGAAGGGGCTATCATGTGATTAAGGATGTGGGTGTGCTCATGAGGTCACCCCAGACTAGGAGATTGCTGGATGGGCACAAGCCCCCCAACCCGGGGAGGTTGAGGCAGGGTTGTGCCGTCTCACCCATTTCGAGCAAAGTTGGCCCAGTACTTCATCATCTTCCTGCTTAGCCGCTCCTCCTCCTCAGTGAATTTAACTGCAGAGAGGAAGGGGACATGTGTCTTGGTCAGGATGGCCCACCTCAGCATCCCAGGTGGAGCTTGTCCATGACCCCCCAGCCCTTGGTCCCCAGTCCCATTTCTCTGCTTTTTCTCCCACTGCCCTCAGAAGCCAGTCCTCCCCTTTTCCAAACTTTCCCCTTAGCCCAGGCTCTGGCTGACTCCATCCTTCCTGGCCCTGAAGGCCCCTTCTTCCTTCTGCCTATGGGAGTCATTGAAGAAACAAACACGTCCCTGAAACACCTGCTCTGAACCAGGCAGACACCCAAGGGTGGGGAGGGATGGAGGGAACACAGGCCACAGTCTGAAGAGTCATGAATTCTAATCCTGACACAGCCTTTGGAGCTGTAACATCTTGGACACCTGATCTCATCCTGTCTCTGAGCCTCAGTTTCCTTATCTGGGCAGTGAGGACAATTAATCACCCCTCAGGGACCCAGTCAGGGACCCAGCCCACCTCCCGGGAAACGAAGAAGACTCACCATAGTCGCCCCAGAAGAAATTTCCGAAAACAAAAGGAAGCTCATCAGCATGGTCTGCCTTCACGTGCGGCGGCCTAATGTTCTTGACCCAGCTGGGCTGATGCTGGAACTCATAGAAGTACACAGGGGCCCGGGAACCTGTGGGGTGGACAGCCTGTGACACAGTGGCCCCTCCCCTGAAGACTTCTTGCCTCACCCATGGGGATAAGATACCCAGGTCCAAAGCTGGCTGGAATCTGGACAGTGGGGTGTGGAGCCCCAGGCTGGGGCAGGAGCAGAGGAAGAGACTTGGGATAAATCATGGCCTCGGACTTCTTAGCTGTTATCATCTTGGGCAAGTCACTGAAGGTCCCTAACTTCAATTTCCTCATCTGTGAAACGGGGAAATGTCTGTCTCTTGGGCTAGCCGTGAGGATTTACTGCAGTGATGGACCTCAAGTGTCCGCGGAGCCCAATAAACATGAGTGGGGAACCGGATAGCAGCAGGTCTCACCTAGGACCCACAGCCCTGAGCTGTACCCCTGCCAGTCAGGCCTTAGGTCCAAATATACTCACGCTGAAAATGTGCTACTTGGAGTGCAGGGATCACAAACATGGAGTCTGCCATCATCTCCTGCAACTGGGCTTGGAGGCTCCGGGGTTCCCCATTGTCCCCATTGTACTCTTCCATCAGCAGGTCACCAAATGTAGGCGGCAACATCTACCCCAGGTGGATCAGGAAGAGGCAGGTTAGGCTGGACGTCAGGGGCAGGGAGGAGGTGGCCTCGAGCTTGGGGAGACGGACCGTGAAATGAACAGGAAGAGGGAGCAAAGGTGAGGCTCTGAGGTGACCCCACCCCCAAGTACACACACACTCGGGCCTTTGCTCATGGGGGTCACTACATAGGCAGGGTATCTGGGGGTTGAATTTCCTCTGCCTCAGGACAGGAGAGGAGCCCATCTCCATTGGCGAGGGACCCCAGGAGCCTTACCGTCAGCGTTAACATTTTCTGCAGAACAGCCTGGAAGGCCTCTCTGTCCATTTCCTTCTGGGTGTCATAGATACCCGTGACCTGGGTGGCCAAGAGAGAGTCTGTAGTTGGGGATGGGATGAGGCTGGAACTACAAAGCCCTGAACACTCCCCACTACCCGATGGGCTCCCCAGGCACTTGAGGGCTTGGGTTGGGCCTCACTTTGGGGATGATCCAGCCGAATTCATCGTTGTTGATACCAATGATGCTGGGGACAGCTTGAAAGTCGGCAGAGGCCAGCAGCTCCTGGGGATGCCTGGGCAGGAAGACCCCATCGACTACACCAGGGATCATCATGTTGAACGGCTGAGGGGAAATGCAAGGTAAGGGAAAAAGGTCAGGTCCCAGACACCTTCCGATGACCACTGAGTACCTTCCACTCCTTCCTGGTTCACCTCCAGATGCTCATATCCACCCCAGGAGATAAATGCCTGGCTCGGGCATGCACTAACCTTCAGTCCCCATCCAGGGCTATGATACCCAGGAATGCAGATGAGGTGCCCAGGGAATATGAGGAGCATGCAGGCCTGAGAGCCCCATGCCTATTGCACCCCTTCCTCTACACCCACATCTGCTTAGACCGACCTTGTTAATTGCAAGAATCTCCTCTTTACTCTTGCCCCGCAGGCAGTTCACCAGGGCCTCAGAGTCAACTTGCTCACAAGCAGACAGGCTGGCCACCACCTGGAAAGGGAGCAGGCAGGAGCTGGCTCATCCTTCCAGGTAGAGGAGGGGAGTTTGCCCAATGCCCTGGCCAAGAACAGGGGCACCCCAAATCTCACAGGGTATTCCATATGAATTTCTGCAGGTCTGACACTATTCCAACTCAGAAGTCCCAGAAAGAAGGACCATCCCATCTGCCTAGATGGTTCTCCTCATGATGGGGATCCCTAGGGTGACAACTTTGCACAGAGGCCACAGAACAAACTTGGCCTCTGCAATGGCAGAAGGATGTGCATTCTGACCCTGGAGCCCCCCAGCAATTCCAAGGTAGGCGGCAGCTCCTGGTGCCTGTTCCTGAATGGCTCTTGTCATCCCTGGTTAACAGACAGAGGCTCTGAGGGGTATGAGAGGAGGTAGCAGGCCTAGGCCTCTGCAGCTGAGGGCACTCACCGTGGAGATAACATCAGCTGAGCTGGCAATGAGGCCAGGCAGCAGGGCCACGCCACTCTCCATGATGGCCCCATGGAAGAGTCCTTGGGACATGGGGGACACAACAAGTGAAGACACACTCGTGCCACCCGCAGACTCGCCAAAAATGGTGACACGGTCAGGGTTGCCTCCAAAGTGGGCGATATTCTGCTGGACCCAGCGTAGTGCGGCCACTTGGTCCAGGTAGCCCCAGTTGCCGGTTGCATGCTTGTCTCCAGTGCTGAGAAGTAGCAGGGACAGGGATCACAGGGCTGTCCTGGCCCCGCTCAGCCCTCGTTGCCCAGCCCAGCCTTAGTCTCACCTGAAGAAGCCCAGGACACCCAGGCGGTACTGGATGGTGACCACCACCACATCCTCAAAGGCGGCCAGCACGGAACCATCATACATGGAAGCCATGCCAAAAACAAGCCCACCACCGTGGATCCACACCATCACCTGGGGAAATCAAGGCAGCTACCATGATGCTCCAACCCAGCCTGAACCCCACCAGGGCCACTAGCTAGACCAACCAGTGCTTTGCCTCTGTCTACCTCCCCATTAGAACTCCAGCACAAATAAATTATGTGGGCCACAGGCTAGGCATCAAAGATCTATCAGGAAGACCAGGCCTCCAAACCTTTGGGTTCTACCCCTTGTTTCAAAGCATGGTTTCCTTAGTCCGAGAAAACACACCAAGTGGAAAGAAAAGGGGTGATGGCTCCACATGAATATTAATAAAACATGTCGTTAGCCTGAAGAACACAGACCTCGTTTGAACAGAAAATGTTTTAAAAATTAGGTCCGCAGTCCCAGCTACTCAGGAGGCTGAGGTGAGAAGATCGCCCAGGAATTTGAGGTTACTGAGAGCTATGTTCATGGCACTGCATTTTAGCCTGGGCTACAGAGCGAGATGCCATCTCTAACAAAAAAAACTTTTTGTGAGGGCCCATTCTAATAGACCCAACAGATTATTCATGGCTGGGATTCTTGGTAACCTCAAGGTGCAGCCCTTGGGCACTTGAGTGGATGTCGTGGGTGTGAGTTGGCTGGGTGAGTCCTGGGTCCAGCCCAGAGCCACAGCCTTTGACCTCTGGCAGCAGCCAGAACTCTGTGACCCCATGTCCAGGGGCCAGCTGCCCAGCCTGGGTAAGGAGCATTTCCCGGACCTGACAGTGAGAAGTTTCTCAGTATGGTCCCCTCTGCAGCAGGGCCTGAGCTAATATTGTCCTTTCCAGCTTCTTGCAGAACTGTCCTCCAACTCCCAGTGAACTGTGGCCTGACACTCACTGGTAGGTTAGAGCCTTTGTGGCTGTAGGCCGGCGTGTAGATGCTGAGGTACAGGCAGTCCTCGGACATGGAGATGGAAGGGATGGTCACATTGACTTGGCTCTGAACCTCTGAATCCATTATGGTGAGGTCCTGAAGACACCTGGTAACCAGAGCAAACAATCAGTCCAGCGGCCGCATCATGGCCAAAACCAGACCCTGGGTTCAGATGTGCCCCCAACCACCCTCAGCCCCTTCTCACATTCTGCTCACACATGATCCCTCTCAAAAATCCCTTCCCACCAAGTTACAGGCCACAGGCTCTGGGGAAGCTGGGATGGAGCTTGGACTTCCAGGGAGGTCTTGAGGTCATTGAGGACCTTGGGTATCATTCCTCCCAACATTGGAAACCTTAACTCTCAGGGGTTTCTCTGAGAACCATTGGCTACATGTGTTGACATTCACCACTATATCGCTGTACCCCCTCAGGCCTGGGACAGGGGAGTAGCCCACACATGTGTGCTACATGAGTGAATGGATGTTAATTTCTCATGAGAAGGGCAGTGGGATGTCTCTCATCCCAAGTCTAAACTCTCAAAAACTCATCATTCCCACATGGCCTCCAGTAGGAAAAATATACACGTCTCTTGGCCAATGGCTCCTGGCCCTGTCGGTGGACACAGTGACTGTGGAGAGTGCAGGTCCCCAGGAAGCTACCACTACTGTTCTCTTCAGCTATTTGCAACATCTGCCACTAGAGTTAGGGGCTCCTACAAGAGCCCCTATGGTCATTGGAAAATGACCCAATGGTCATTGGAAAAATGCACGTGGGAATCCACGAAACTCAGAAGGAAAACTGGCTGTGGGGGTTGAAATGAAATGACAACTGCAGCCTAGGTGAGCTCAGAGCACCCCACCCCTGCCCCAGTGTCTGGAACTCCCTGGACCCCTGGGAGAGCTTACGCATCCGGATGGGTGGTTCCATCCCTCACACCACTCCAAGATTCAGGGGGTTCAGGGGGTGCAAATCGCAGCGGACCTAGAGGTGGCTTGGCAAAGGGAATTCCCAGGAAGGTATGGACCCCCGCATCAGCGCTCTTCACATGGACAAGACTCCCCAGCACCTGGCCCGCGTGTGTGGTCCGGATGGGACTGGCAGAGTCCTGGCCTGTGGGCAGAGAGACAGATATCACAGTTGGGTCTGTCCAATCGGTTGCTCTACAGACTGTTGGTATTGCTGCCTCCTTGCCATCCTCAGCTCAGCTCAAGGGATCCTGATCTATAAACACAGGCTTTACAAACTTCCTGCCTGTAACACTCCCTTCCCGCTCTGCCTTCCTGGGCCTGTCTCCATCCCACCAGGCTGAGGCTTCTTGGGGCCCGGCATCATCATTCAGCCCTAGGACCTTCAAACAAAGGGTCACATGCCCTTGTTGGGACTAGAGTGTCCTTTCAACTGTGTGCCAGGTCACGTGACAGTAGGATGATGGTGGGAATTGGGCAGGCAAGGTTCCTGTCCTCAGGGATGTCACGTCCAAGGTGGCAAGAAATGACATAAATAAAGCATCCTCCTAACCATGAGTGATGTTGGTGAAAGAGCTACAAGAGAGAAGTATGGCTGTGACTGGGACATAAAAAGCACTGCAGCGGCCTGGGGACCATAGTGGGACTCTGTCTCTGCAAAAAAAATCAAGAAAATAAATTATCGGGGTGTGTTGGTGCATACCTGTAGTCCCAGCTACTTGACCGGCTAAGGTGGGAGGACTGCTTGAGCCTGGGAGGTTGAGGCTACATGAGCCATGATCGGGTCACTGCACTCCAGCCTGGGTGACAGTGAGAACCTGTCTCAAAAAAAACAAAAACAAAAACAAAAAAGCACAGCCTCTGGGTGTGGTGGTATGGGCCTGTATTGGCATGGTGGTGTGGGCCTATATTCCCAGCTACTCAGCTACTCAGGAGGCTAAGGCAGAAAGGGTTCCATGCTGCATGAGCTATGATCTGGCCCTTGTACTCTAGCCTAGGCAACAAAGCAAGACACAGTCTCCAACAATAAAAACATAGCATGACTGCTGTAGGGATCAAGGAGGGAGAAAGTGACTGAAAATCACCTAACAGAGAAAATCAGTCCCCTTAATAGATAAAACGTTTCTACAAACAAAGAATATGACACCTACACAAAAGGAAAAGCAGCATAAGAATATGTTCAGAATAAGCAATACAAATCAGTATCTCTCAAATAAACAGAGATCTTTACCTCATTCATAGTAAGAGTAATGCACATTGAATTCTCACTGTGATGTCAACCACTCATTTTGTCGTATCACAAAAAGCAAGGCAACCAGATATTACATATTTTCTTTCAGAAGTACACAGCACCACATGTGAAGTAGTCCTCCAAAAAACAAAACAAAATAAAACCTAAAACCCAAATCTGATTATGCCTCTAAAATATAAATACAAGTTTACAGGGTCGACAGGGGACAGAAGAACAGTTAGAAGACTCCGCTGGGATGCAATCAGCAAAACCTAAATGGTGGGATCCTCTCCAGAACAAATAAACTGGTTTCTTCAACATGCAACAAAATTTAGAAAGAACATAAAAGAGAGGCAGAAGGTAAATTTGGAGACTGAAAGAGATTCAAGAAACACATAAAAATGACATATGATAAGAAGTGTTGGTAAGGAAGCGGAAAACTTGGAACTTTCATACATTGCCGGTGGGAAGGTAAAATGGTGCAGCTGCTTTGGAAAACAGTCTGGCAGTTTTTCAAGGGATTAAACATAGAGTTGCCATATGACTCAGCAATTTCATTTCTAAGTATAAATCCAAGAGAATTGGCGGGACATGGAGGCTCACGCCTGTAATTCAAGCACTTTGGTAGATCAAGGTGGGCAGATCACCTGCAGTTAGGAGTTTGAAACAAGCCTGGCTGATATGATGAAACTCTATCTCTACTGCAAATACAAAAATTAGCCATGTGTGGTGGCGTGTGCTTGTAATTCCAGCTACTTGGGAGGGTGAGGCATGAGGATCCCTTGAACCTAGGGGGCAGACATTGCAGTGAGCCTGGGCGACAGAGTGAGACTCTGTCTCAAAAAAAAAAAAGAAAAAAAGAAATGCCTACCAATTTGCAAAGTAGGAACCTTATTTGAATCCTGATTTAAAAAAAAAACAAACTTGTATTAATACAAGTATCATTTATAAACATTAAAAGAATATTCGATTATATATTTGATTAAATTGAGAACTGTATGTTATGGAAATACACACATACATTTATGTTACTTTTGTTTTAGTAGGACATGATGAAAAATTTACAGATGAGATGATATCTGGGATTTGTTTCAAATAACGGTGCAAGGGGGAGGTGGCCATCCAGAAAACACCCGGTTATATTCAACCTGAGAAAGCTGATTTAAAACAAAAACAAAAACAAGATCTTTGTCATTGCTGAAGGTGGACAACGGGTACGTTGGATTTGGTACATTACTCTTTCTACCTCAGACTTGGCTCATCCCTTGGTGCTGTGCAGCCCTCTAGCAGCCTTGACCCTCTCTGTGCCTCAGGAAGGTTCACCTGCTGTAGTTATTCCCACCAGCTCCCACCTACCTGGCACCTTCCCTTTTGGAATCTCAGGTTCTGTTTCTGTAGGGTTTGGGAAATCTGAGCCCATTTCCATAATAAAAAGTCCAAACACAGGCCAGGCGCAGTGGCTGACGTCTGTAATTCCAGCACTTTGGGAGGCTGAGGTGGGTGGATCACTTGAGATTAGGAGTTCAAGACCAGCCTGGCCAACATGGTGAAACCCCATCTCTACCAAAAGATACAAAAATTTGCTGGGTATGGTGCCGTGTGCCTGTAGACCCAGCTATTTGGGAGGCTGAGGCATGAGAATCGCTTGAACCCACCAAGCAGAGGTTGCAGTAATTCGAGATGGCACCACTGCACTCAAGCCTGAGCGACAGAGTCAGACCCTGTCTCAAGAAAAAAAAAAAAAAAGTCAAAAAACAAAACAGCCTTAGGGAGCTAATGCCACCCTACACCTGTCAGTTTAACATGGATCAATATGTTTGATGCCACCTGGTGTGGGTGAGGCCGGGCTCAGTAGACATTTACAGGCACCAGACAGGACATTTTAACAATGTCTCCAAGTCAAAAGGCCCACTCCTCTCCCCAGTAACACGCTCCTGCACACAATTCCTTGCTGGAGGGGAGGTCTATCCAGGTAATTCCCTGTGGCCACTGATGCCTGATGGTTGTTACAGCAAAGGACATCACCTGCTGAAATGTCCCTGGTTAGAGACCTGTTACATCAACTCATGTAATAAAGAGATTCATTACTTGCTTCATCCTTGAGAAGCCCTTCCATTAATCAGTATGAAGAAGCTCTACCATGTAGGGGTGTGTGGAGGCCACCCTATGTGTTAGAAAGTGGAAAAGCCCTGCCCCAGAAGTAGGTGATTTTATGACCATTTAGATGAAAATCAAGGACAAGTACACACATCGTTTCTTGTGTAAATTGCTGGGCACTGTGTGTACTGCAGTGTGAACAGGCAGTTTCCAGTGCATGCCATGGGGACTTTGATGACCCCTCAGGAGAAGCCAGGACTGGTTGGGTAAAAAGAGTACAGCACACATCACTTGTACCCTCCTATGGCTTGTCAATTATTTTTTCCTGAATGTGGGTCCAACCCAAAATTGTGTGTGTGTATGTGTGTGTGTGTGTGTATGTGTATGTGTGTATATATTGCCAGACAAGGTCTCCATCTGTTGCCCAGGCTGGAGTGCAGTGGTACGATTACAGCTCACTGCAGCCTCAGCCTCCTAGGCTTGAGATCCTCCCATCTCAGCCTCCTGAGTAGCTGGGAGTACACATGTGTGCCACCATGCCTGAGTCTTTTTTTTGATAGAGACAAGTCTTGTTGCCCAAGCTGGTCTCTAACTCCTAGCCTTAAGTGATCCTCCCATCTCCATCTCTCAAAGTGCTGGGATAACAGGTGTGAACCACTGTGCCTGGCCCAAAATATTTTAAAAGGTAGCCATCTGTGAGGCCGGGCAAATCTTCATGCCTGGGCTCCTGGTGAACTCTAGAATGTGGTCAAGGGCAGGAATGAGAGGAAGCCCTGCAGGAGTGCATAATGGGGCGGGGGGTGTATGGACTCCACCTGGGCAGATTAAATTGGGAAAGGCTCAGGAGAGACAGTCAGATCATACACTTAGGAGAGTTTCGGGTGAGAGGACCAAAGGCCGAAACACTCCCGGAGTTTCTGATAAGGGCCTGGAGAAGCCTGGCAGACACACAGAGCCATCATCTTTGCCCCGGAAGCCAAGTTGTGTACTTGCCCAGGATGAGGTAAATGGCGTGAGGGACACCACGAGCTCTTTGGCTTTTTTTTTTTTAAGACAGATTTTTGCTTTATCACCCAGGCTGGTGGAGTGCAGTAGTGCGATGAAGGTTCACTGCAGCCTCAACCTCCCCTGCTAAAGTGATCCTCCCACCTCAACCTCCCAAGCAGCTGGGACTACAGGTCACAGGCCACCACAGCCCACTAATTTCTTTTAATTTTTTGTACACTCTGAGTCTCACTATGTTGCCCAGGCTGGCCTCCAACTCCGGGGCTCAAGCGATTCTCCCCCTCGGTCTTCCAAGGGGTTGGGATTACAGGCGTGAGTCAATCGCACCCAGCCACTTCGGCCTCTTGGATCTGCTTTAGGATCTGGCACCCGGGGGCTTCTGTTCCCCAAGGACCACTAACCTTGTCTGAGGCCCCTTTGGAGGAGTCAGGGCGCCCCCCTGGCTAAGGACGCAACACACTCAGAGCCAGATGCTTTGAGAAGCTGTTATTGTTATTATCGGCCAGCAGCACCGGCTACGGCCACAATCATGAGGGAAATGGATTGAATCCCCGCACCCCCAATCCCTCACCCACTCGGACCCAAGGCTCCCGACTCGGCCTGGCATGTCCCGGCGCTCCTGGGGCCCCTGTAGTCCGCTGGCTCCTCACCGTGGTGTCCCGCAGCCCGAACCTTTCCGCGCTTCTAGGAGCCCACCTTGGGTGGCTGGGAGGCGTCGCGTGGGGCTCATGAGTTCCACGCTGTCATCTCCACCAGCTCCCACCTCCCAGGCGCCTTCCCTCCCGCACTGTCAGGTTCTGCCTCCGCAGCATTTGGCAGATCTGACTCCAGTCCCTGTCGCCCCTCCGCGGGAGCCTCACCCTGGCCCTGGACGAGAAGCAACAGGAGCCCACAGGCCACCGCACTCAGCCGCGCGCGAAGTCGGTGCAGTCGCATGGTCGGCTCGCTGGTCTCGGTTCGCTGCCGGTGGACACGCCGCTGTTCACCCAGAGACTGCCCCGGATTTGGCCTCGCCCAGCCTCGGAGTTTGGACTGGGCAAAGAGTGCGCGGGGTGCGCTGGCTTGGGCCAGGAAAAGGTGGGTCTGGCAGGAGTTCAGGATCCCCACAGATGGAGAAATGGGAAGGAACTTGATCGGGGTGAAGGAACCGCTTGAGCAAAAGCAGGGAGGCCTGAAGGCGCCCTTCATTCTGGAAACTCCTCCTTGCTTTCGGGACTCAGTCTCCTGGGTTCCCCATCAGGTCCCTCATCCCCTTACAGTCCAGGGTCTGAGGGTCTCCGCGGTCCCCTCCCTACTCAGTCATGCCCTTCTTTCGAAACGTACACGTGACCGCGGCACTTCTTAAGGAGCGCCCCCCTTTGCCTCTGTGGCTTTCAGTTTCCTCACCTCCCGCGGAGACCACGGCCATGGTCATTTATCCACTTGACAAACGTTTCACGAGCGCCTGCCGGTCCGAGCGATGAGGACACCGCACTCCCGGGCCTATGGTGCAGCAGGGGACCCAGGCGGCTCACCAGGAGGTCCCGAGACACAAGGAGCCCTGCCAGGCCAGAGGCGACCAACCGTCGTGGATACAGGAGCTCTCGGCCAGCCCGACTTCCCGGAGGAGGCGGTGTGGGGACCACCTCCGACCGCCTTTTGTGCCCCCTGAGACCTGGCTCTGGCCTCTACGTTTCAGCCCGCTATGGGCTCGCATGACCCAGCGCCACCGGGGTCCCTTCTCAGCGCCTTTGCTCCAGCGACCATCACGTTCCCGGGTCCGCGCAGCCAGCATCGTGGTCACCGTTTCTCTCACACCTCAGGCGGAAAACCCCCAACGCGGCGTGTCCCTCGTGCGACCCCGTCGCCACGCCACGCCCCCCTTCCCGTTCTCCGGAAGTGCGCGGGTAGGAGCGGAAGCGCACGCCCGCTAGGGTTGGCGGTGGTGATTCCGCCATGGTAGGCGGCGGCGGGGTCGGCGGCGGTGGCCTCCTGGAGAATGCCAACCCCCTCATCTACCAGCGCTCTGGGGAGCGCCCTGTGACGGCAGGCGAGGAGGACGAGCAGGTTCCCGACAGCATCGATGCACGCGAGATCTTCGATATCCGCCGCTGCTGGGCGCGGGAGGGTTCCGGGGGCTTGCGGTCGGGGGAGCAGTGATGTCCAGCGGCTGGTGGAGCCGCATCCCAGCTGGGCGTTCCTGGCAGAAAGTTCTGAGCGGGCAAGGGCGCAGAGTCCCTTTTCCTTCACTTCCCACATCTGATTCGCTCCATCAATGACCCGGAGCATCCACTGACGCTAGAGGAGTTGAATGTAGTAGAGCAGGTGCGGGTTCAGGTGAGTCACTTCCAAGGGGAGCGAATTGCTCCAGAGAGTCAGAAAGGTTTCTGTGCACCAGGAGCTGGCGTGCTCTCCGCTCACGGACACCGAAGGGTATCTGTGGGAAGGGAGATTGTTCTGCTTATTTTATGGGTGTTGAAGCTGAGGCCCATGGAAGTTGGATGATTTGCCCAAAGCAACAAACTAAGAGGGGCCTTGGGCTGAGGGTGGTTGACTCTTGACATGTTCCCTCCATAACCAGGTTAGCGACCCCGAGAGTACAGTGGCTGTGGCCTTCACACCAACCATTCCGCACTGCAGCATGGCCACCCTTATTGGCCTGTCCATCAAGGTCAAGCTTCTGCGCTCTCTTCCTCAGCGTTTCAAGGTCAGTTGGAGCTGAGCCTTGGGAGTGGGACCAGGCATTGAGGATCTACTGCTGAGGATAGGGACTGGGAGAGCATGAACATGGAGAGGACATCAGAGTGGGGCCTGGAAGGATCCCAATTAGCAGAGAGGAAACTGGGAGGAAGCTTTTCAAGTCGATATGACAAGAATAAAGATCTGAGCTGGAAAGTGGAGAAAAGTATTGAAGAGTGTGGCAGGAAGGGCAGCAGGGAGCTGCAGATGGGTTTGGACCAGGGATGGGGCACAGGCAGGCCTTTAAATCAGCAGTAGTGGGCAAGTTCTTTGGATAGAATTGGAATAGCTAGGGCCGGGCACGGTGGCTCACGCCTGTAATCCCAGCACTTTGGGAAGCTGAGGTAGGTGGATCACCTGAGGTTAGGAGTTGGAGACCAGCCTGGCCAACATGGTGAAACCTCATCTCTACTAAAAATACAAAAATTAGCGGGGCGTGGTGGCGTGTGCTGTGGTCCCAGCTACACGGGAGACTGAGGCGGGAGAATCAAATTGAACCTGGGAGACAGAGGTTGCAGTGAGCTGAGATCGCGCTACTGCACTCCAGCCTGGGAAAGACTCATTCTTGGGAAAAAAAAAAAAAAAAAGAATTGGAATACCTGTGGATGGGTTTGGGGTGCAATGGAAGGGCCAGAGTCCAAAGGTATGATTAGGAGGAAGGATCAGCTGGAGATGGTGCCTGAGGGTTTGGGGGCTGCAGGGAAAAGCGTGGGTCAGTGGGTGGGTGTTCAGGCCCTGGTTATCTCCCTCCCAGATGGACGTGCACATTACTCCGGGGACCCATGCCTCAGAGCATGCAGGTAAGGGTGGACTGGTGGTGAGGGTATTGGCCCAGGCACCCTAAGCAGTCTGAGGCTTCCCCTTTGCCCAGGAGTCTATCGGCAAGACAGGGAATGGGTAACTTCGTGAGTGAAATTGCCAGAGACTCCTCAGTGTAGGTTATAGCCTAGACCAAAGCTGGCCTGACAAGAATCTCCTGTGCTTACCATGTCCTCTTCTCCCAAATCCCTTTCACCAAATATACAGGACCAGAGTGTGTCAGACTTCAGCAGCGTGGGAGGCAGCCAGGGGGAGGGATCCTAAGAAGGCAGGCTAGGTGGGCTCAGGTGGTTGAAGTAGCCTGATCAAGGTGTGGGGTCCTGGGAAGGAGGTGACAGGAGGGCTCTGTTGCTGCAGGGGACATATCCTATACAGAGGTTCAGAGGTAGGGCTGGCTAGCACTCTGGCCAGAGCCTAGCTTTGACTCTGCCTTCCCCACACTCTCCTTCCCACCTAGTGAACAAGCAACTTGCAGATAAGGAGCGGGTGGCAGCTGCCTTGGAGAACACCCACCTCCTGGAGGTTGTGAATCAGTGCCTGTCAGCCCGCCCCTGAGCCTGGCCTTTGGCCCCTCAACCTGCATACTGGTGTCCTGGTCCCAGCTCCTGCCAGGGCTCTTACCTTTGTTTTCTTGAATCACTCACAATGAGAAACTAACATTTTGCTTTTTGTAATAAAGTTAATTTATATTCAGTTCCCAGCATGCTTTGGTGTCTTTCATCTTGGTGGAGTCCTTTGGAGTTTGAGGGAGGATGGTGGTGGTAATCACCACCATCTGAAGGGTGGTGTACTTGCAACTTTAAGTAAAACAAAATCAAAATGGAAAGAGTAGTGTATGAATGTGCCTGTATGCTCACCACCACCACTAGAGTCAGTAGTTGTTGACATATTACACACTGGCCTTATTTATGTGTGCATATATAAACATCAGTATATTTGCGAGTAAGCTGCAGAGACTTGACTCTTCACTTTGAAGTACTGCGGCTCCCTCTAGATGAGTAAGCCTGTATAGCCACAATACTTTCATCTGATCAGAAAATGAACAGTTCTTCAACACCATCTAATACCCAGGCATATCTGGATTTCCCTAATGTGTCATTCATAGTTGTTTTTGTTTTGTTTTTGAAACAGGGTCTTACCCTGTTGCCTAGGCCCAGGTGCAGTGGCAAGATTGTAACTCACTGCAGCCTCCAACTCCTGGGTTCAAGCAATCCTCCAGCCTTGGCCTCCCAAGTAGCTTGGATTAATACAGTGGCACAGTTATACCTTTCTGCAGCCTTGACCTCCTGGGCTCAAGCGATCCTCGCACCTCAGCCTCCCGAATAGCTGGGACTGCAGGCATGCACCACTGTGCCTAGCTAATTTTTAATTTTCTTGTAGAGACAGGGTCTCCTTAGGTTGCCCAGGCCGGTCTCTAGCTCCTGGGCTTAAGTGATCCTCCTCCCAAAATGTTGGGATTACAGGTATGAGCCACCCCAACCAGTCCAATTTAAAAATTTTATTTTTTTTATTTTTTGGTAGAGATGAAGCCTTGCTGTGTTGCCCAGCCTGGTCTCAAATTCTTGTCCTCAAGCAATTCTCTCACCTGGTCTGCCAAAGCACTGGGATTACAGGCTTGAGCATCACACCTAGCTGTTTTTCAGTTTTTTTAATTCAAAAAAACATTTTATCAAGAGGTAGTCTATTGCTCTGCCACCGGGGCTGGAGTGCAGTGATGCGATCAGAGCTCACTGTAGCCTCAACCTCCTAAGTCCAAGTGATCCTCCTGCCTCAGTCTCCTGAATAGCTGGGACTACAGGCATGTGCTACCATGCCAGGCTAATTTTTAAATTTTTTGTAGAGACTGGGTCTGCCTATGTTGCCTAAGCTGGTCCCAAACTCCCAGGCTCAAGCCTCACAAAGTGCTGGGGTTACAGGTGTGAACCAACACACCTGGCCCTTTGTCTTTCTTCACAGTGATTTTTTGGAAAAGTTCAGAGAAGTCCCAGTTCTGCAGTCTGATTTGTTCCTGATTTGTGTTACCTGTAACTGGAAGTTGGTCTAAAGGCCTCAATGAGTCCAGGTTTGAGCTTTTTGATGAAAACCCTGTCCAGGAGTGGCATATATCTTTTATAAATCCACTGGTCGTGTGATGCCAGCTTTTCCTGCTGTTAGTGATGTGCCGTCTGGTCCCTGGTAAGGGCGGTGACATCAGACTTCTCTGTTGAAGGGAACCTGAGACACCTTCTTGGTCAGCTCTCCCAAAGGCATGTGTCACCCGCAGTGTTGAGTAAGAGGGAAGCTCAGCACCATGAAGTGATAGGCTCGGGTCTAAGGCCTCTGTCTCCCCTTGGCCCTGTGCTCAGATTGCATTTGGTCACCTGGACAGACTGTAGGGCTTAGACCTTGGCTTAGCCGGTTAGGATCGCTTTCCCAGGGGGAACATCCTTCCTGCCTTAGTCTCATTCTCTGAGGATAAATGGCAATATTAAGAAGCAGTGCCCAACCCCACTCCATCCCTACTGAGGCTCAGATGTGATTGTGGGCAGAGAAGCCTCAGTAGGGATCTGGCCATTTTGCAGATCTGTTCTTGAGTGCCTGCTGACAGCATTGAGCCTATCCTAAGAGTGGAATTCAGCTGAGGGCTTTACACTTACTATCTAGTCCTCCATCTAGCCCTATGCAGCAATTGCTATCCTCTCTCTCTCTTTTTTTTTTTGTTTGTTTGTTTTTTGTTTTTTTCTTTTCTTTTTTGAGACACAGGATCTCGCTATGTTGCCCAGGCTGGAGTATGGTGGCTATCCATAGGTATGATTATAGCACACTACAGCCTTGAATGCCTGGGTTCCAGGGATTCTCTTGCCTCAGCCTCCTGAATACCTGGGACGACAGGCGTGTGTCATCATGCCTAGCTTGCTATTCTTTTTTTATCCCAAATTTTTAGGACAGGAAATGGTTTTCTAGAAGAAATGTAGTTAGATCTCCATTATCCATGGGTTCTATATCCATGGGTACAACCCACTATGGATCCAAAATGTAGTTAGGCCTAGGATGACTGTGTCTGTACTGGACATGTACAAACGTTTGTTCTTGTTTTTATTCCCTAAACAACGCAGTCTAACAACAACTTACATAGCATTTACATTGTATTAGGTGTTACAGTAGTAATCCGGAGATGACTTACAGTATATAGAAGGATGTGCAGAGGTTGCATGCAGATACTATGCCATTTTATGTAAGAGACTTGATCTCAGCCACTGAAGTTGAGTTTAAAAAATAAAGTAAAAAAATACATGTAAAGGAGTTGAGTATTCATGGATTTTGGGATTCATGGGGATCCTGGAACCAATCCCCTGTGGATACCAAGGGACAACTCTGATTTACTTCTCAAGACGTTTATTTCTATTTACTTCTCAAGAGGTGGCTCACATTTGTAATCCCAGCATTTTGGGAGGCTGATGTGAGAGGATCGCCTGAGCCCAGCAGTTTGAGACAAGCCTGGGCAATACAGCAAAATCCTGTCTCAAAATAAAATTTTTTTTTGTAATTAGTGGGGAATGGTGGTGCACACCTGTGGTTCCAGCTACTCGGGAGGCGGAGGTGGGAGAATCGCTTGAGCCCAGGAAGTTGAGGCTGCAGTGAGCTATGATTGTGCCACTGCACTCCAGCCTGGGTGACAGCAAGACCCTGTCTCAAAAAAAAAAAAAAAAAAAAAAAAAAAAAGAAAAAAGAAAAAAGACTTCTGGCTAGGGAGTAAAGGAGGCCCTGAGCAGCTTGATAGGTGCTGTGCAGCTGGCAGGGGGCGCCATTGCCTGCAGAAGGAGCTAAGCCTATCCTGAACTCCAACTCCTATTGTCCCCACTCAGCTCACTCTTAGGAGGGAATGTCCTCGTCACCTAATGACCAAGAGGAGGTGCTGGATCTGGCTACCTAAGATCAGAGTGGTGAAGCCATTAGCCCCTGTTGCCCAGAGCTGCTTCATCTGTAATAGGGGGATAGTCATGGCAATCACTTGGGACTGCTTTTGGGAGATTTAAATGGGTCTAGGCCTAGCTCTGATGATCTAGGCACTGTATCCCACACAGATGAGGAAGCCGAGGGCTCCAGAGAGGCAGGGTGAACAGCTGGACCTCAGGGAGCCTTCCCAAGCTGAAGGCCTCACACCCTGCGACGTGTGTACCTTCTGCCTGACAGTCCCTGTCTGAGGTGGCCGTGGTGTCTGTGTTGAGCTGGGGACGAAGGGAGTCATGGGGGCGGCAGGTGTGGTTGAGTCATTCGGCTGGCTTCCTGACAGCCAGGCCATCGTGGGTGAGGGACACCAAACTGCTCATGCCACAGCTGATGTATCAGATAGTCCCCTTGTCACTCTTGACTCAGCTGTGCCTGGCCCCCCCTGCAGGGCCACCATCTGTGCATCCTGGGCCAGTGCCCAGGGAACTTTCTGGAACCCCAGATGCTATCTAAGGACATGGGTACAGGGGGTGGTGAAGTTTGAGGTTCCCGAAACCCTCTACCAGGTATGTCTGGCTCTGCTGTTTCTGGCCTGTGACCCCTCAGGCCTTGGTTACCATGTCTACAAAATGGGAACAACAAATCATAGCTGAGTTTGACCCAGGGATTAGATGACATGTATGAACATGCCCAGCCATATCTATTTTTGCTCATCATCCTGCCCCCAGCACAAGGGCCTGGCACACAGTAGGTATTTAGTACAGTTTAGTGGAATGAATGAATGCATTGGGCCTTAGAACACAGCAGAGGCCCCAGGGCCTGAAGGCTGTGGTGTGAGGTGGGGGTGGGGACACTGAAGCCCAGCCCAGTTCCCTCTGCAACATCTTGTCACCTGAGGGAGGGGGAAGAGTGTGGGGTCCTACAGAGAGGAGGCATGGGTATGGGGCTAGGGGAGAGGTATCTGCATTGTTTCTGAGACCTCTGCCCCACTCCTGGACAGACCACTGTCCTGGAGAGAGTGGAGCAGAAACAAGAGAGGAAACACAAATTCACCTAACCTGCCCCATCCAATCAAGGATGATGATGATAAACGTGCTCTTAGTGAGATATTACTGTCTGCCCGACTTGAGCCAACTACTGTTTTGTCTCATAATAACTGTCAGGAAGAGATGATCCCTGTTCTACACAGGAGAAACTGAGGCTCAGCCTAGATAAATGGACACAGGTGAAACAGCTAGCAAGGGGCACAGCTGGGATCTGAAGCCCAGGCCAATCTAGGGGTGGTTCTAGCCTCAATTTATTCCTCCTGAGCAGCCACGCTCAGCCCAGATTGCTGGGAGGACCAGGTGGTGGGAGTGGGGGTGTCTCAAGGTCGTGTCCTGGTGTTAATCTCTGGGGCCCCTGGCCATATCTAGCTTGTGGTGAGTGTCTCTGGACTGTTGGAGCAGCCACTGGAATGCCTGGGGCTTGAGTGGCCCTTTGTGGATGCAGTTCCCTTGGCAATGAAGAAACACTGCTGAGGTCAAGAGCTCAGATTGCCAGAGGGGAAACCCAGCCCTGCTTCTTTGCATGGCCCCCTGCTGGGAAGGACCACAGCTACCCCCCACCCTCACCCTCTGCCAGACACCCAGAGGCTCTTTCCAGTGGCACAGTTGTGGGGTTGGATGGGACACAGGCAGCCCAGCCAGGATTCCTCATGGGAAGTGTGTGCTGGCTCTTTAGACTTGTCTGCTAATGGGAGGCTCTGGCTATAACTCCCTCTTCCCACTGGAG